AGGATACATCATCTGGGAACTATGAATGGCTCTAAAAAATTACTTTTAGCAATCCATGTAGCAGATGAGCAGATATTTCTCAGAATAAGTGAAAACTTTGATCTGCTGGTGGCACATGAGGAAAAGAAAGGGATCACAAAGGTCAATAGAAGTCATTCTCTGTGGACCATGAATGGCTGTACAAAATGTTGTAACAATCCATGTAGTACATATGTAGATATTTTTTCAGGATAACTGAAAACTCTGACCTGCTGATGGCACAGAAGGAAAAGTCAAGGGTTCACCAGGAGTCATCCTCTGGGGACCATCAATGGTTGTGCAACAGTTCGTGACGAACAATCAAATAATTTTAGAGATATTTCAAATGAACAACAAATAGGAACAGTACTTGTAGCACTGGAGGAAAAGTCAGGTGATGACCAAAGTTGTCAGGATACATCATCTGGGAACCATGAATGTCTGTGTTGTAACAATCCATGTCATAGATGAGCAGATATTTCTCAGGATAAGTGAAAACTCTGACCTGCTGGTGGCACAGGAGGAAAAGTCAGGGGATTGCAATGGTCAATAAGAGTAATCCTCTGGGGACCATGAATGACTGTCAAACATATCATGACAATCAAGTAATTGTAGAGATATTTCAATTCAACAACAAACAGGAACACTAATTGCAGCGGTACAGGAAAAGTCAGGTGATGGCCAAATTTATTAGGATACATCATCTGGGAACCTTCCTTGTCTCTACAAAATATTGTAACAATCCATGTAGCAAATGTGTAGATATTTCTCACATTGACCTGCTGATGGCACTGAGGGAAAAGTCAGGGGTTCATCAGGTGTCATCCTCTGGGGGCTATGAATGGCTATACAACAAACAAATAATTGTAGAGATATTTCAAATGGACAACAAATAGGAACACTAATTGTAGCGCAGGTGATGACCAAAGTTGTTAGGACTTAGGGTTGTTGTGAAACTGCGCCTACTAAGGACAACATGGAAGTTTGTCTTGGATGTGTTGATAGAATAGACAAGAAAGGACAGCAGAGGAGATACCCACACACCATTGCAGTTGGGCTGCTCCTCAGAGTTGATCTCACCTAATTAGTGGTACCAGCTGATTTATTCATCACACCTGGTAGGAATCTGTCTGTGTCTACGTCTGTTCTGTGAAGCACTCATGTCAGTAGCACTGATGATAGCCAAGGACTGAAATGTTTGCTGTTTTTATTCACTTTTCATTATTTTCTGCACTCTGAGCACCTTTCTTTTTCTGCATAGATGTCCTACATAAATTGACTATTTTTTTGCATTGATCTCAGGCTGTGGACTTTTTTGTGGCTGTCCAGCCCAGTTGCATTGGTGTGCAGGTATCTCCTCTGCCGTCCTGTCCAAGTTGTTAGGATACATCATCTCGGAACCACGAATTGAATATTTGTACACAATGTTGTAACAATCTATGGGGTAAATGTGTAGATATTTCCCAGGATAAATGAAAACTCTAGCCTGCTGATGGCACAAAAGGAAAAGTCAGGGGTTTACCACAGTCCTCCTCTGGGGACCATGAGTGCTTGGACAAAATTTAATGACAAACCATCAAGTAGTTGTTGAGACAGTCTGGACCAAAGTGGTGGACCAGCTGCCCCGAGGTAGCACAGCTAATGAAAGGACCAGAATATATTGCCATGTAGTCTGCCAGTCACTCAAACCTGCAGGGAGAGAAATAGGAGTGTAACACAAATGAAAAACAGCCAGGCATGCAAGAGACCAACACAAAAGAGAAATAATATACTATATAGCCAGTTGAAAAATCACTTTAAGTCACTGTCATAAAATAAATCCACACAATAGTCTTCTGCACGCCCGTGAGACTAATCACCTATTGATATCAACATGTAATCAATGACAGCAAACACAGGGCTAGTAAAGGAGAGCTTTGATGACGGTTAACTCGACCTGACTATTGAGGTCTACATCATATATCATCGACATTTTATGTAAAAGGTATTGACCACAGACTGTATATAAAAATGGTATTGACCGTCACGTCCACTAATATTGATGAGGTGGAGTCCTGCTGCGAGGGTCTTGCAAAACAGGAATAACACTAATAATTTGGATATGACTCCTGTGACAAACAACACACAGCAAGCAATTGCACTCAAGACTGCACTGCCCCTATGTTACCTCAAGAGGGAGACATTTCTACAATAAGGCAGCAAATGAGGAGGGAAAACTGAGGAAGCAGAACAGACTCGTTCACATGCAGCACAGTCATATGCACATACATTCAACCAAACACACACACACATCATCAATTACCACTGTAACGGCGACACAACTGTGTGTTAACATTTCTTTTTTTAATTCAATCCAAGAGTCACATTAACAAGTTATATCATAGCAGTCCTGAACAGACAATTTCAAAGTAGCTTGCGGTAATGACTCTTCATCATCATCAAAATGCATTAATAAAATAAAACCTGTTCAGTATAGAAAAAGACAGGAAGTAAAGCTACAGAGAAAACAGAGTTCAGTTTCTTGGTCCACACGACAATAAGCCATCAGAAAGACACTATCGCTCCATCGGAGTACACAAGTCTTTCGTCTTAGGCTCACTGCTGGACAAACTGTGGTAAGCAGGCAGCAGTAGCATAAATACAAGTTTATCTCTTGCAGGTTTACATTTTTATCAGATTGATAGCAAGTACAAAAGATGGAAATTCACCTCTGCAGAGGTATTTGAAATAAAGGGAAGTGAAACAAGTGCGAAAAGAAATGGACCCATCCTTTTTTGCCAAATAGCCCCAATGCCAAATCGTTTTGGATGTAACTATTAAATATAAATGTACATATTTGACTTGCTGATGAAATACAGTATCATCCTTTAGACGTTCACATGGAAATATTGGTTTAAAATAAACAAACAAAAATGCACGAGGGGTTACAGTGGCTCAATACATTTCATTCTGGATCAAGTCTTAAATATCAATGCTTTGTCTCAGTTGAAATTCACAATCAAATTCTCCACCTATGTACAAAAACAGTATGGTCTCCCTCATACACGCAGAGTGAACTGTATAACCATCCACCTGCTGTAAATTCACATCACTTAGGAGTACATTTAATACTTATCCATTCTACCGTGTAGTTTTACAGTCATTCAAATCAGTACGTTGCTGCCAAGTCTTACAAGTTTACAAAGTCGTTTCAAGCTACAAAATTTCCACAATCCTGAGAAAAGGCAGAAAAGTAGGTCTAAAAAGTGTTTCGGATGTTTAAACTAACCCAGCTCTTTCTTAAAGTACAAAAACGAAATGTGGGACAAGGGACAGCTTCCTTTAATGTGTGATCCCTAATTTCCTCTGTGCTCCCATTATTGCAGCAAATATATGAATGCCAAAACTGTTCATATTAACAAAATTTGAGCTACAATACTGTAACCTACAAACTTATCATGCTTTACAGCAATGTGATACTTCTTAAAAAATAAAGAAAATAATCTAAAGTGCAAGCACAAATACGTATAATTTAAAAAGGACAAAGTAGTAAGGGGGAAATACTAAAAGACTGTAATTTGACATAATGTTAGTTTATATGTGCGTACACAGTCTGGAGTGTTTGTGCCATGTGGCCCGTCATGTGGTGGCAGACATCACCTCAAGGCCTGGCGCGCTTACACACTCCCACTTTGCTTATTTCAACCTGCATGCCTTAAACATAAAACATAAAAAAGTCAATGGAGAGAGGGCTCAAACAGGATAAAAAGTGTACATCTGAAAACCATGATTTCTTCGGAAAATGTCCACTGGAGATCAGCGCTTTGAGGAGCTTCTGATTGTGACAAGATTGTCTATACATTCTCTTTTTTCGCATAAAAATTCTATAGATTCAAGGCTATCGGTTTCCATAAGAAATCTGCATTTTTGTTTCTAAGCAGTCAACTCAGCGATAATAGTAATAATATAACAACAATAAAACTTTACACTGTGTAGGAGGAATACAGCACAAAAACAACTGCAGTATTATACAAAGGAACAAAAAAAGAAAAATGTGGCTCATTTTTCACCATCAATACAATCTGCAGAGGAGAGAAGATCACAGATCTTTGTCATGGCAGTGAAAATAAAAATCATTCATATACGTATATCAAAAATTCACAAAATGTCCTGCATTTGGAATATTCAAAATACATATCAGAACTCTTCAAAAGCATACATCTTGAGAAGGCTTAAGAGATGTGAAATATTGCTTCACCGAAAGCCGTAATGGAAACACACATGTACAGTTTGCAGTATGGTCGTGGATGTGATGGGAATGTGAAGCTCACCGACACGATGAACTTACAGGATTTGAAGAAAACAAAAAACACTTAGAAAGTAGTACGTGTTTGTGTGATATCCATAAACAAAGAGTCAACAGAATCGAACCATGAATGCAAAGATCCCAAGTGTAACTGGCCACAAACAGATTCCAATGTGTTCCATTTCATCTGCTCACAAGAGGTATTCCCTTTAACAATTGTGCTGTAAAAATGACATGATGTACGACGCTGCAGCATAATGTAACTTTAATTTTTGTGTGTGTGTGTGTGTGTGTGT